GTAAAACATTAACTCATCATTTTGAGCTAATTATATATAATATATAATTTATATATTATGGTTCCTTCAGAGCAGAATAACAGAAATTTTCGCGTATACTAAAACAGTTTCACAAGTATCAGATGAAGACTGCACTTTTAAATCTTATTTATTAACCATTGGCTTGAACAGCCTAAAGGTTAATAAATAAGATAATGGCTTGAACAATTTAGAGTAGTTAATTTTTTCTGATGATAGGTATTATGGAATATAGTTTGATTCTAGGATTTTTAATTCCTGTATTTTTGCCATCTGTAGCAATTAAAATTTTTGAAAAGATACTGCCTTTATTCACCAATAGTTCTGTTAGAAAGGCTGGAAGAGGTAAGTTTCTTATATTGGACAAATCAAACAAAAGCTTTGCTCTATTAAAAGTTTGTTAACTTTGGTAAAACCAATCTTACATATTTTTATTAAAATTTTTGTTTTCATCATAACTTTTTGTTTGACATGTCTCCTACAATTTATGTTGAGTGACCCCAAAGCAAGATTTAAAAAATGGAAACAAAGTTTTTCTTTTTGGGTATTGGCAGGGAGACACAGGGGATAATCAGATCATTATAATTTATTAATTGTTAAAACCAATGATTTGAAATAGAACTTCAAATACATTTTAGGGTGAGTATATAGTTGAAAAGTAACTCTACATACCACTTCATTAGTTTTTATTTATGAAATAATCGATCATTTAAAATAATTAATGCAGTATATGTTTTTATTTTCTATTTTGTGTCCTGGGACCCAGATTATCATGTGAACTTAGAAAATCTAAATTACTTAAAAACTCTTTCGTGGAAAAATTGATTCTATGTTTTGTGGAACAATGAGAACATGATTCATTTTATAGTGAATCTATCCTGATACCTGTTTTGAAATAATTGGATAATGTTTGCATTGAACAATGTCTTCATATTTTTAATTATGAGGATCCTCTATATAAAAAATATTAGTTTACTCCTACATGGTAATGTTTCTACTCTTATCATTACTATATGGTGATATTTGAACTTTTATCATGAATTCACCCACCAGTGTGTGAGGATTTAAAGAATCTTAGTGGTAACTTTGCATTTTTATATTCTGTAACTATTGGTTTAGTAGTTTATAAACCTGTAGATTATGTTAAAATATAGACTCCCTACCTAGATATTCTGGCTCATTAGGTCTGTGGTAGGTCTCAGGTAACTACATTTTACACAGGAATCCAGTCAGTGATTGATGCAGATGGTTTAGGAAGGAAGTTTGGTCCTGATTTAGACCTAAATTCCTATGAACTCTGCCTTGATTTTCAAGAATGAGGGATCTTGGATAATGATATGCTGTGTCTATCATTCTGAGACAGTCTCTCCATTTGTCCTTCCCATTCCTTTTCCTTTGTCCTCACTTTTTGTGCACCAGAGTTTGGGAAATGAAGAACGGATGGGGGAGTCTAGGACTGTGATACAAAGCACAATCTCTGGTTTTATAGATAGTCTATAAATGCAATCAGGGCCTGAAAACATGGGTAACCACAGGTACCCTATGATTCACTGATTCTTAGGCCGCTCTTAGGTTTGATTTATGGCTTCCCACGACAATAAATTAAAGACCCTTGGTTACGTAAAGTATTCTCCAGTCTTGTTTTTTTAGAAATATGCCATGAGACTAACCTCTCTCTCTTTTTTTTAATGTTCAAAATTTTTAAAAAATCATTTTAAAATTAAATTTATTGGGGTGATGTTGTTTAAAGATTATATAGGTTTCAAGTGTAGATTCTATGATATGTGATCTGAATATTGCATTGACTTTGGGTGGTGGGCACACACTGAAATGTACAGAGGTGTTGAACAACAAAATATTTTTAAAAAAAGCTTTTTTTCCCATAGTTCAATCAGCATTTGTTACTGATTTCCTGAATCAAGTATACAGTTAATGTCTTGAAAAAGAAAACCTAAAATAAAATTTTACTGTTATCCCTTGCAGTATTGGATTTGAAAAACAGCTCTTAAGTTTTGGAAGTTTTGTTTGTGTATAGGTCAATTGTCAGATGTGTTTTCTTAACAAAATATTAGTGCTTCAAAAAAATTTAAGTAAAAATTTAAGCAACGTGAAGTTTCATGTGGACTTTGCAGAGTTAGTTTTAGCCATAAAAGTTAGTCATTGTATCCATTATCATAAAGATATTTAAAGAATTAGTTGTTCATAGCAGTAATTGAGTATATTCAGGATAATGTAGGCTCTAGGCTTTTGCCTTCTGAAGAATATGCTCCCTTGACCAGTACTATCTCTTCACTTGGGAGCCTGTTGAAGTCCAGAATCTCAGGACCCTTTCCAGAACCATCCAGTCAGTATCTCCGTTAAACCTTTTTACCTGGCACTACATTTTTCTCTCTAGCAGGGCTGGTAACCTTTTTCTGCCAAGAGCCATTTGAGTATCACATCATTCACCGGCCATACAAAATTATCAACTTAAAAAATTTGGTCTAACATTTAATTAACTCACCCTTAATGCCTTGGGCAGGGCCAGACCAAATAATTTCATGGGTCTTATAAGTTCCCCAGCCCTGGTCTGTAGGTTTCTTTGTTTTTAACATGCTACATGTATATTTCTCATTTGCTTATTGCATTTTTGTTTAATTTGGTGTTGCATGCCCATTGCCTAAAACAGTGCCTGTATCTAAACAATACAGAAGTATTTGCTGGGTGAATAAATAAGGTATGTCATTAAGATGTTTAATTTAATAGATACATATATTTTTGTACCTGTGTGTATGTGAATGATTTAATAACTATAAACAATATGAGAAATGAACTATAAAATATAGTGTTACTTTTATTGCTGTTGAGAAATATTTACTTATTTAATGAATGAGAGACCATTTGCAATATTTTTTCCATATGTATTTATGGAGAAAGTCTGCCAAATATGTCTCTGTTTAGTACACTGGGTTTAAGTGCAGGTCCAGTATGTTACAAGTTGAAGACAACTGGTATTTAAATAAACCAAACCAAATTACTAGGTTAATTGCATTTAGTGAAATCTAGCTCTGTGATTACATTGTTAAGCTTGCTTTTGTAGCAACAAATAATGTATTAAACTCAGGATTACCCCTAATAGTTTTAAAAATGAACTCTGAATGTAATATTTTTCAAAATGTTCTTTGTTTAATTTTCACTTTTATTTACACTGTAAACCACTTAAAATTTTTTTAAAGACCGTTTTTTATTTTATTTTATTTTTTGTTTTGTTTCATTTTATTTTTGCAGATAGGCTCGAGGAGAGAGCATCCTCAGATAAGAATGTAGAACCACTTTCTGCTCCACATAACCATCCTCCAGAAGATCCTTTTGGTTCTGTTCCTTTCATTTCTCACTCAGGCAAGTTACATGTGTAACATCATCACTTTCATTAAAAAGAATATACACAAGAACAAGATTGAGAACAAACACTGTATTGATATAAAGCCAAAGTAAGAATCAGGTGTCAGTTACAGAAAATAGAAAATTATTTTAACCTTCAGCCATCCTGGTCTTCCTAAGGTCATTCTTTCCATTGGGTGATTCACTTGTGCTTTTGCCAACATAGAAAAATGTGGATTTACATAATAGAACTATAACTGTTTCCTTTCTCCTTTGTTATTGGATACTGTTGAAAAAAATCCAGGCATGAAAATATCTCTCGTTTATATATTGAAAACACATAAAAAGGTATTTTTATGCTTAGCTTTTGCTTAAAATTCCTATATTTTCCTAGTTTATACATGTGCTTACAGCTGCATTTTAAAAATAGTTTGTATTTGTCACAATCACTAATGATCTACTCCTTTGTTTTTACATTTTTGCTTTGATTTCAATCCAGAATTTAAATATTATTATTCACCATTTAAAAATATTGGTAGTAACATTTTCTTTTTTTCTTTTTAATTTTTTTTTCTTTATTGATTAAGGTATTACATATGTGTCCTTACCCCCCATTTCCCCCCGCCCGATCTCTCCCCCTGACACCCACCCTCCCCTACCTTCCCTCTGAGATTTGACGGTCTGATCGTTGCTTCTCTGTCTCTGTTTTTGTTCATCAATTTATGTTGTTCATTATATTCCACAAATGAGTGAGATTGATATTTATCTTTCTCGGACTGGCTTATTTTGCTTAGCATAATGGTCTCCAGTTCCATCCATGCTGTTGTAAATGGTAAGAATTCCTTCTTTTTTACGGCAGCATAGTATTCTATTGTGTAGCTGTACCATGGTTTTTTAATCCACTCATCTGCTGATGGGCACTTAGGCTGTTTCCAGATCTTACGTATGGTAAATTGTGCTGCTATGAACATAGGGTGCATATATCCTTTCTGATTGGCGTTTCCAGGTTCTTGGGATATATTCCTAGAAGTGGGATCACTGGGTCAAATGGGAGTTCTATTTTTAGTTTTTTGAGGAAACTCCATACTATTTTCCACAGTGGCTGCACCAGTCTGCATTCCCACCAGCAGTGCACTGAGGGTTTCTTTTTCTCCACATCCTTGCCAGCACTTGCCATTTGTTGATTTGTTGATGATAGCCATTCTGACAGGTGTGAGATGGTACCGCATTGTCGTTTTGATTAGCATCTCTCAGATGATTAGTGACTTTGAGCATGTTTTCATATGTCTCTTGGCCTTCCTTATGTCCTCTTTAGAAAAGTATCTATTTAGGTCCATTGCCCATTTTTTGATTGGGTTGTTTAACATTTTCAAAGTAATTATCCAGTTAACAGTGTTGAGGACATTAAGATAGAGTAGGATCTCACTTTGGCATAAGTGGATTTTTGTGGGTTTGGTTATAATGGAAAAAATGAGTTTAATCTTGGAAAAGGGAAATGTATTGGGAGAAATCATACTATAGCAGAAGGTAAAGATTTTGTTTAATACAGAAGTAGGCAAAAGTAGGTTTATAGTTGTTCATATGGGAAAAAAAACATGCAGGTTATGATAATTACAATAGGTTTATTGTTTCATGTACTCGCAACTGTAAAACTACTTTTTACTCCTGTATATTCAAGGTAACTGTCAGCCATGGTCTTTGGTTCTGTTCCTTTTTATTTCTCAGACAAGTTACATGTGTGATAATCAGCACTACCATTTAAAAAAATACACACAAGAGTAAACAACAACAAAAGAAACACTGATGAATGTAAAGCCTAGCTAAGAACTAGGTGAACCGATACCTGGGTGTTAGGCCATGCCATTCTGAAGGTGCCTTATCTCCAAAGCTAAGCAGTGTCGGTCCTGGTTACTACTTGGATGGGAGACTGGGAGACCCCCTGTGCCCTAGGTTTTTTTGTTTTGTTTTTTTTTTAAAAGAAAGAAATAGGTGTTCAGGATTTTTGGTGGACACATCAAGGCAGTGTTACACCTTTTCAACGTTGAGATTTGGTTATCCAGAAACTATAGCATAGTAACTGTCATGGTCCATAGTGTACATTTTGCCATTTATTGACAAGAGTCTATATTCTTGTCATTTTCTGCTTGTTTTCTAATTATCTTTTTCATGAGTGAACTGACATTATTAATTGGGAAAGACAATTTACTGTGTCTATTTAATTAATCTGCATTGATATGCTCCCTCACATTCTCAGTAGGCTATACAAATGTTACTGCTTTTTTAAAAAAAATTATGGTATCTCTAAATGGTCTCTCTAAGTTCTCAGACATAGTACTCAGTGACTTGAGATATTGATCTATTTGTGGCAGAAAGTCATTTCAGTATTAGCTTTATTTTCATACTCTAGAACAGTGGTTCCCAACCTTTTTTTTGGCCATGCCCTTCCTAAGCACCTCTAAAATCCTGATGACCCCGTGACATATAATTCTTATTATTCAAAAAGTGAACTCCTCGTCATGTGGAGGAAACCTAAAAGGCCCATTAACTTGGTCTAAACAAGCTTCCAAAGAACATGGCATCCATAAAAGAGAAAAATAAAGGAACGAAAGAACAGTTGAAGTACTGAGGAAGAAATCACTAAGAAATTATTGAAATAATAATATGAAGTGCTATGAAAAATAGCAAATAAAGTTTCAAAACATACTAGAGAACTGAAATGCATAAATATGTCAATTTATATTTATATACTCTATATGAGGCCCCTAGAACCATAAGAAATGCAGAAAATTCACTGTTAATAACTCATTCTTGAATTACCCCCCTTAAAAATCAAATTGCCCCTCTCCTGTGGGGTGTGTGCCCCATGTTGGGAACCACTGCTCTAGAAGAAGATGTATAATAGATTTCAGGTTTTCACATGTCTATGCAACTTCTATGTTTTTTAAGAGCTTCTGAAGAACCCTGGGAAAAATAACTAGTAGAATCAGGAGCTAGTGTGAGTCTCAATGATTTGCCTTTTCCCTGGACACCCTTATTTTGGAGTTGGCCTAGGATTTTTGTAACTAGAAATATGCTCACCGATTTTTGAGCATATTTCTGTGTTTGAGCTTGATTGCTGCGTTTTATTTTGTGTTCTCTTTTTACTGTGAGTATTTAAAGTCTCTATTAGATTTTAAGCTTGTTGAGGCTTGGATATATGAATTGTCTGTCTTTGAATCCTGGGTAGTAGCCAACCCAGTAACCACCTACTAATATTTACTGGATGTATGAAAAAATTATGACTATCCCTAAAAATTTATACCCTTTAGTGTTAGGACAGTGCCCTTGAAAAACGCCCTTTAATATAAATGCTACCCTTCCAAAATATCTTTTCAGATTTAGGATTAATGAACATTGCAGTAGTTTGGTTATGAAAAATTGAGTAGATAGACTGGAAATAAGGAGGGAATGGTCATAGGAGAAATGTGCTGCCAGAGAGAGAAGAAAAGGCAATCACTTGGTTATGCTAGCATTGTTAATTTATATTCATCAGATCCAGAATACAAAATTAAAAATCTAAAAATAACCTAAAAATTGAACCCCACCCACACAAAATATAATCTATGCATTATCAAGCATAGAAATACTTTGTTATATATACTTTTTCAGTTAAAAAAAAAAGTGGAGCATTCATTTTCCTCTAATAGTGAAATAACTGAATCTACTGAAACAAAAATGAATTCTTCATAAGCTTTTAGAAATTGGGAAAAGAAAAAGAAATTTTCTGTCCAATGAAAATATACTCTACCGAGCACTGTTGTTCCCTTGTTTTTTATGTATCCTATCATCAACTCATTTTTATTTAGCATTGTAAAATTCTTCCCAATTAAAGGTGGCTGTCATTTTCTCTTGTACCTGGTTACATATTTCATGGAGTTCTGCAGTCCGAATTGGTTGCTTTCAGTGCGTGCCACACATTTATCATGCTAGTATTTTCTTTTCTACACCAGGAGTCTTGGAAATTTCTGGTTCTCCTGTTTTTCTTTGTTGGTTTGTTAATAGAAGAACTCCTCTAGTGATTTCTTGAGAATGTATGTGTGGGAGGAAAATATTTAAACTTTGCTGCCTAAAAATATCTTTTTTTCCTCCCTAAACTGGTGCTTGATAATTCTGTGTTGGTCATTTTTATCGTAAATTTTTGAGGCACTGCTTCATTGTATTTGAGCTAAAAAAAACAAAAAGCAAAACAAAAAAACACCTCTACTAGGGAAAAGCCTCAACTAGGGGAATGGCTGCTCCCTATGGCCCTAATCCTAGATTCCATACCCTCTGACACTTTGTGTACTCCAGGTCCACTATAGGTAGACAGCTGGCCTGTAGTTACACAGGTTGGTTCACAAAGACTCAACTTTCTGATTTTTTTTGGTGCCTTAGCTTATGATTCTACTTTCAGACTTTCAGGAAGATTCACTGAAGATAATGTTTTGGTAGACCATGTCTTAAAAATGAATCAAATCTAGCTTTTCTTCTGCTTTTTAAACATTTCTTTATGGGCAAAATTAAAATTATTCATTTATGCAAAGTTCAATTATAGCAAGATTCTGTGTGGTGCTGTATGTGAAAGTAATAACTTATCCCATTAGTTGATATTGTAACTAACATGGAATTATGTTTACCTGTTATGTCAGGCTACTACTAGTAAACTGATGTTAGGTTGGAACATCATAAAGAACATTGACTTTGAAGATGTAAAGCCCTGAGTATAAATCTTAGTTCTACCACAAATTAACCATGTGATATTGGGGGTTGCCTAATTTCTTGGGGGGAGGGGTTCTTTATCTTAAACTGGAGATATTAACTACTTTATGAGATTATTGAAAGGATTAAACAAGGGTATGTTATACAAACCATACATGTCCTCAGTTTTGGTTCCTAATGTGGCTGTTGTTGGTAGTGTTATTTAAATAATATTTTTATTACTTACTACTAAATTCCAAAATCTTAGTGTTAAATAAGTTTTGCAGATGCTATGCAGTTAG